GCCCGGGGCTCGGCGGTGCTGCGGGGCCGCGCACCGCGGCGGCTGCGGGCGGCTCCCGCGGGTGGCCCCAGCCGAGGCAGCGAGCTCGCCCAGCTCGCCCCCGCCGCCTCCGCTCACCGCGGAGCTGGCTGATCCAGGAGCCTCGACTGGTCCGGCTGAGAGCAGAAAAGGCACCTGGAAGGTGAACCCTCTGCACCGCGGCTTCCAAGCGCGCGGGATTCAAGCGGGGTGCTGAAGGTGACCTTTAGATGCCCTGCTCTGAGCCGCAGCTTGGCCTAGGGAGCTGTGCAGGGGCACCATAAAGGGAGCAGCGCCCGACCTGCTGCTCTCGAGGTCGCTGCCAGCCCCTGTGGCATCAAGCTGGCGACGTATTTGAAGCCAGGTTTGCCTGAACTGTGGTGGTTTGGCCTCCCATTCCTCTAAGGCACTTCAGATTCAAGACAAGGGAATTCATTGATTAGCAAATGTGTGCTCAGTACTTTGAAGATGTAAAGTCTTATGAAAGCACAAAAATTTATGAATGTCCATTTGGATGATTTGGCTGGCCAGAAAAAAAAAGTGGGATTTTTTTTCCCCCCTCACATTTCAGTAACCTTAAACAGGTTGAAGCTTGTGAGGAGACATGAACAGTTAGCATGTGGGTCACAGAACTTGTAAACAATTTATTAATTCTCATCACTCGATGACCTTTGTGAATTTAAACAATTATATATGATTTTCTCCTTTAATTATTTTTGGTTTTTATCTTGCCTCTAGCATTTTTATATATGCAAATATTGTTATGTCCATCCAAAAAGGATATGGGCTGCTATCTTATTTCCTGTTAATTCATTACAATTTTCATCTAGATTTCCTCAACAGCCTTTTTAAATTTTCCCTTTTTTATTTTTCCATATGTATGTGCATGGGATTACCATCACATAATTTACCATCACAAAACCATCAACTTCTAGGAAAGCTCTATTGTGGCATGTGATATCTTTTGTAGCACCCTGAATAAGAACATTAATAAAACCTATATTTTAAAGTAACTTTCATTGGCAAAAAACATCAAACCAACAAAAAACAAAACCCCCCACAAACAGGAAATGGAAAACAGTGTACTGAGAAACATTACTGTCTATGAGGAGTAACTCTAGGTAAAAAGCCTTGTTAAAACCCCAGATCTATTGCTTTATCTTCTACAGTTGAGAAAGAGGTGGAAAACTTTGGAAAGACTGGACAAATCCTTGTAGTGTTTTGACTGACATTTACCTTGGGCTCTTTTATCAATGTTTACGTTTCTTTCTCTGATTTATTCTGTCCCTGAAATGGCATATATGAAGAACCCTCAAGGCAAATGAAAATCAGAAATTACTAGTAGTTACTGTACATTTGTTATTATGTTATTTCACTAGAAAAAGAACTTGGGGATTAAGATGTGCTGATAGTAGAAGTGGGTCCCAATAAAAAACAGTTGTGTAGCAATTATGTTTAGACATTGTAAGAACTTATTATCTGGAAAAATAGAGAAATATAAAAAAGTATGTAAAAGTCTAAAGGATGCTTTTACTTACACAGTGGTAAGAATCTTAAGTGGATCCAGTGGTCTTCATTGTGGCCTAGCAAGTACCCTGGGAAAGTCCTGTGCTGAGAGCTCAGATATACATAATACACAGGAAAGTTATGGTCGGGGCTGCTGTACATCTTCCCATTTGTTGTCATTGATTCATTAAGAAATGCTGTGTGAAGCAAATTTCTCTGGCCACACACACACCTCATTCACCCTCACAGTCTGCAGATCAATTGAGAAGATCAAAGGAAATTATAGTATTATTAGATACGTATGCAGTTGTCTTCCTCAGAGGCACAAACATTTCTGCTTTCTTTTCAGAAATAATGTATGTATTCTCTTGCATGTTACACTGTAGAAGATTTTATAAATTGTCATGTTAATCAGGGCATGGGGAAAGTGGCCAATACCCCAGTGTTCTGAGTGCACTTGACAAAAGTGTGACGGCATTGGGACAATTTATCCCTGTTCTGTGTCAACCAGCAGAAGCTATATGTGAAACTCTCAGTAGGACTAGAAAGGATGTAGGTATGAAAACTCATAGACCTTTTTCTTTTATTAAAAAAGACCTAATACACTTCCTGTTAGATAGCAGTAGTAAAATTTTATGGTAGATTAAGTATTTGAAGGTAAGTATTAAAGTTAACAGTTACAAAAGCTGCCAGATTTAGAGCAGCAGATTTATTCCTGCACACGTTCAGTAAACTTGCTAGGGAGTTGTGCTGCTCCCTGCTGTGTAGTTGCTGAGGGTATGCAATCTAAACTATTTCTCTTGCTGATTTACCCACATCCA